CAATGTCTGGTTCAAGCGTGACAATGTTAGAACTGTAACACGTTTTGTAATATACATTGTTCAACAATGTCTGGTACAACCGTGACAATGTTGAAAACTGTAACACGTTTTGTGACAAAAGATACAATATATTTTAATAATGCAAGAATGTCTGGTGCAACAGTGAAAATTAGAAAAAATGTAACACGTTTGGTAACAACAGATACAATATCTTATAATGTAAAAATGTCTGGTACAACTGTGACAATTTTAAAAAATGTAACACGTTTTTAAACAATATATACCTTGTTCAATAATGTAACAATGTCTGGTACAACCGTGACAATGTATAATAATGTAACAATGTATGGTACAACCGTGACAATGTATAATAATGTAACCATGTCTGGTACAACCGGGACAATGTTAATTATGGTAATATATAACGTGTAACAATGTCTGGTACAAACGTGCCAATGTTAGAACTGTAACACGTTTTGTAAAAATATATACAATGTTCAACAATGTCTGGTACAACCGTGACAATGTATAACAGTGTAACAATGTCTGGTACAACCGGGACAATGTATAACAGTGTAACAATGTCTGGTACAACCGGGACAATGTATAACAGTGTAACAATGTCTGGTACAACCGGGACAATGTATAACAGTGTAACAATGTCTGGTACAAACGGGACAATGTATAACAGTGTAACAATGTCTGGTAGAACCGGGACAATGTATAACAGTGTAACAATGTCTGGTACAACCGTGACAATGTATAACAGTGTAACAATGTCTGGTACAACCGGGACAATGTATAACAGTGTAACAATGTCTGGAAGAACCGGGACAATGTATAACAGTGTAACAATGTCTGGTACAACCGTGACAATGTATAACAGTGTAACAATGTCTGGTACAACCGGGACAATGTATAACAGTGTAACAATGTCTGGTACAACCGGGACAATGTATAACAGTGTAACAATGTCTGGTACAACCGGGACAATGTATAACAGTGTAACAATGTCTGGTACAACCGGGACAATGTATAACAGTGTAACAATGTCTGGTAGAACCGGGACAATGTATAACAGTGTAACAATGCCTGGTACAACCGTGACAATGTATAACAGTGTAACAATGTCTGGTACAACCGGGACAATGTATAACAGTGTAACAATGTCTGGTACAACCGGGACAATGTATAACAGTGTAACAATGTCTGGTACAACCGGGACAGTGTATAACAGTGTAACAATGTCTGGTAGAAGCAGGACAATATATAACAATATAACAATGTCTGGTACAACCGGGACAATGTATAACAGTGTAACAATGTCTGGTACAACCGGGACAATGTATAACAGTGTAACAATGTCTGGTACAACCGTGACAATGTATAACAGTGTAACAATGTCTGGTACAACCGTGACAATGTATAACAGTGTAACAATGTCTGGTACAACCGGGACAATGTATAACAGTGTAACAATGTCTGGTACAACCGGGACAATGTATAACAGTGTAACAATGTCTGGTACAACCGGGACAATGTATAACAGTGTAACAATGTCTGGTAGAACCGGGACAATGTATAACAGTGTAACAATGTCTGGTACAACGGTGACAATGTATAACAGTGTAACAATGTCTGGTACAACCGGGACAATGTATAACAGTGTAACAATGTCTGGTACAACCGGGACAATGTATAACAGTGTAACAATGTCTGGTACAACCGGGACAATGTATAACAGTGTAACAATGTCTGGTACAACCGGGACAATGTATAACAGTGTAACAATGTCTGGTAGAACCGGGGCAATGTATAACAGTGTAACAATGTCTGGTACAACCGTGACAATGTATAACAGTGTAACAATGTCTGGTAGAACCGGGACAATGTATAACAGTGTAACAATGTCTGGTACAACCGTGACAATGTATAACAGTGTAACAATGTCTGGTACAACCGGGACAATGTATAACAGTGTAACAATGTCTGGTACAACTGGGACAATATATAACAGTGTAACAATGTCTGGTACAACCGGGACAATGTATAACAGTTTAACAATGTCTGGTACAACCGGGACAATATATAACAGTGTAACAATGTCTGGTAGAACCGGGACAATGTATAACAGTGTAACAATGTCTGGTACAACCGGGACAATATATAACAGTGTAACAATGTCTGGTAGAACCGGGACAATGTATAACAGTGTAACAATGTCTGGTAGAACCGGGACAATGTATAACAGTGTAACAATGTCTGGTACAACCGGGACAATGTATAACAGTGTAACAATGTCTGGTACAACCGGGACAATGTATAACAGTGTAACAATGTCTGGTACAACCGTGACAATGTATAACAGTGTAACAATGTCTGGTACAACCGGGACAATGTATAACAGTGTAACAATGTCTGGTACAACCGTGACAATGTATAACAGTGTAGCAATGTCTGGTACAACCGGGACAATGTATAACAGTGTAACAATGTCTGGTACAACCGTGACAATGTATAACAGTGTAACAATGTCTGGTACAACCGGGACAATGTATAACAGTGTAACAATGTCTGGTACAACCGGGACAATGTATAACAGTGTAACAATGTCTGGTACAACCGTGACAATGTATAACAGTGTAACAATGTCTGGTACAACCGTGACAATGTATAACAGTGTAACAATGTCTGGTACAACCGGGACAATGTATAACAGTGTAACACTGTCTGGTACAACCGGGACAATGTATAACAGTGTAACAATGTCTGGTACAACCGGGACAATGTATAACAGTGTAACAATGTCTGGTAGAACCGGGACAATGTATAACAGTGTAACAATGTCTGGTACAACCGTGACAATGTATAACAGTGTAACAATGTCTGGTAGAACCAGGACAATATATAACATAATAACAATGTCTGGTACAACCGGGACAATGTATAACAGTGTAACAATGTCTGGTACAACCGGGACAATGTATAACAGTGTAACAATGTCTGGTACAACCGTGACAATGTATAACAGTGTAACAATGTCTGGTAGAACTAGGACAATATATAACAATATAACAATGTCTGGTACAACCGGGACAATGTATAACAGTGTAACAATGTCTGGTACAACCGTGACAATGTATAACAGTGTAACAATGTCTGGTACAACCGGGAGAATGTATAACAGTGTAACAATGTCTGGTACAACCGGGACAATGTATAACAGTGTAACAATGTCTGGTACAACCGGGACAATGTATAACAGTGTAACAATGTCTGGTAGAACCGGGACAATGTATAACAATATAACAATGTCTGGTACAACCGGGACAATGTTAATTATGTTAATATATAACGTGCCACGGTTGCGGCCGATTCCTGCAGTTTTCGCTAACATTGCCACGGTTGTGCCAGAAAAAAACCTGCATTTGAGTGTGTCTCATCTTGCACAGGTGGTCAAACAAGAATCTCTATATGATTTAAGAAATTATAATGTCTGAGTGAGAAACCTAAGACACGGGGTAAAGCAGACCCGATGATGCAATAAGCTTGCTCGGCGGTATCATGACTGTGTAACGGGTCTTAATGTATAAGTGTGCTTGGCGGTAGGTTCAAACAACGCGGATCCTCAAAGCATGTGCTCATGGTATATTCGTGTTTTAACACCTGTGTAAGAGACACTGCAGTGTATCAGTTTTTCTAGGTGATCAGTTTGGTATAAATGTGCAGTTTATTACTGGTTTAATAATATGCCATTTTAATATTTGAGATATTTAATCTAGTGTTGAGTTAGATATGACCCGCTTTAAAGCAAAAGCCTGTAATATTTAAGAATACATGTATATGAAAAAATCTGTCAGAAAAATTTTAACTAAAATTAATTGCTCTTATTTGAAAAAGTTTTATTCAATTAACACAAAAATTGTTTTAAAATGTTTAGAAATGATCTCTGCCATCTAATCTTACTACGTTTGGCATCTTAAGTTGTATAGGTATGTAGTAAAATGTCAAAAGGTGGCAAAAATGAAAAATGCTGTGGTTTCAACTAATTTTAGAGTCTGAGATTCAAGAGGTTGAGAATAAACTCTATATATAAAAATATACTAGGTCTACATGAAATTTTGAAAACAATTGGTGCATATTAATACATTTAGCAAATATTGGCAATCATATAATATACCGTAATTGAAAAACATCTGTGGCACCAACTTAATATTATTTAATGAACTCATAAGGCCATTAAATATTTGGTTATTAAATTCCCAATGCAAGCACAGTTGGTTTGATGGCTTAAAGATTCAACACCTAACTTAGTAAAAATTAATATGCGCTGCAAAAATATGAATATATCGACATCCTGATTAATGAGTATTTCTCTGAATAAGGCCTTGATTTAAATATTAGCATTGCATCTCTGAACAAGGCCTTGAGTGAATCTCTGAACAAGGGCTTTGAACAATGCCTTTATTTTAGTACTACTGTAGCAGTGTGTCTCTGAACAAGACCTTTATTGTCTCTGAATAGAGCCTTGCTTTAAGTATAAGCAGCGTGTCTTTGAACAAGGCCTTAATTTAAGTATGAGCAGTGTGTCTTTGAACAAGGCCTTAATTTAAGTATGTGCAGTGTGTCTTTGAACAGGGCCTTAATTTAAGTATGAGCAGTGTGTCTTTGAACAAGGCCTTTATTTTATTATTAGCAGTGTGTCTCTGAACAAGGCCTAAATTTAAGTATGAGCAGTGTGTCTTTGAGCAAGGCATTTATTTTATTATTAGCAGTGTGTCTCTGAATAAAGCCTTGCTTTAAGTATAGCAGTGTGTCTCTGAACAAGGCCTTCACAGTGTGTCTTTAAACAAGTCCTTGATATTAGTTTTAGCTTGTTGATCATAGAACAAGGCCTTTATTTTAGTATATAAGTAATGTGTCTCTGAACAAGGCCTTAATTTTAGTTTAATCATGTGTCTGTTTCTGAACAAGGCCTTGATTTGGTTTATATATTTCAGAACAAGGACTTAGTAAATACTATCGGAAGTACAGGACGTTACCCACTACACTTCGCAGCCGATTATGGTCAAACTGAGATCATCGAGTATTTGGTTTCCCAAGGAGCAGATGTCAATGTAAGTTAATTGAGGTGTTCCAATCAGAAAAGAGTAGAGTACTTAGGGGCATTCTTGGCCGCGGGGCATTCCCTGAAAAACCCTTGCATCAGGTGAGAATCTGGGGCATCTTTACAATATATATACAGGGATTTCACTAAAATTTCTCACAACAGGCTAAATAAATTAAAACAACAGGCAAAATTAGTGGAAATCATATATTTAACATGGAAAAGTCCCTAAAAACAACAGGCGATTTTGTGAAAACAACCGGTGAAAATCGCCTGTTGCCTGCTGCTAATGAAATCCCTGTATATCAATATCCATAAATCGAAACATCTAAGTTGAAGTTTCAATAAAGATATCATATAAAACAAAGAATTATTGAAGATCGTCCAACAATGTCCTGTGTCAAGAATGCCCCTATTTTCTTTCATTTTTAAAACAGCATTCCATTTCTGGAGTCCATCAGTTCTGACTGTTTCATGATTATCCAATAATTTTTATGTTTATCTGGCAATAACTATGGAGAGTAAATGTGTCACATTTTTGTTCTAATGAATTTGGACATTCCTACATAAATTTTCTATATACATGTTTATCAAGTTGACAAAAAACTTGGTTTTTGCAAGTTTCGGAAAACCTGTTTTGAAACAAAAATGACGTCATTAATATTATGGACGCTGGTTGACAGACATTTTAATAAATTTGAACTCATGGTATACCAAATTAAAGAAAAGTAAATTCCCTATCCACTGGTATATAATATGACATGTTTTCCTCAAGAAAATCAATATTTAGGAGGCCCTCCTGAAAGGGCCTCCTATAGCTTTTGTAGCTTTTCTTTATTTATTTTTATTCTATCAAAGCAGTTTTCTCCTACTTTCAACTAGCTTTCAACTTTCTACTATATGCTCCTACTAGATACCTGGTTTGATCTTGATGGGAAAATATTTCATATCTAGGTCAAGGTCAAAGGTCAAAATCAAGGTCAAATCTAAGCTTTTTTTAAGTTTCTCAAAGCCTGACACAGGCCTGTCAACTTGGGAACACCTAACATGAGTGACTTGGAAATGTTGAACACCTCCCCTACAAATGTGGACACCTTGGTCCAAATCTGAACACCTTGATCCAAATTTTGAACACCTTGGTTTAAATTTTATTACATCTTGCCAAATTTTGAACACCTCAAATTTTTCGCGCTCGCTACGCTCCCGTTTCAAACATCCTTCAACGGGGGGGTGGGGGGGGGGGGGGTAGGTACGAAAAATTTCGAACGGAATGCGTGACATATCCGTAATTCGCGTGGAAAGTACGAACGGAATGCATACGATTTTAACTGTCGTTCGTATTTTTGCTGTGTAGACGATCTTTTTTAGAAAATTTTCTCCAGAAATATTTTTGCTTGACAATTACCAGGTAAAATGCGTATTTGCGTGACATTTTCTGTCACGCAAAAATAACTGGCGTGACTTCAAATTCTACAGCAAATGCGTGACAAATACGCAAATTGCGGGACAGTTGACAGGCCTGCTGACACTACACTTCAACATTTTTGGCTGATTTTTTGCATACAGATAGATATTATTAGTATTCTATTAGTGTTAGCCTTTTGCTGTCTAGACAAATTTCGTCTAGATTTTGAGATATTGACGTCAAAAAATGGTCAAAAAAGGTCATTTTTCAACTTGCTTCAAATTGACGAACTTTTTTTTTACTCATCTACAAGTTCTCAGGATTCCAAATCTGACCTTACTTTTGACCTTTGACCTTCGGTTGACCTTCAGTGACCTCCGAAAGGTCAAAAAAGTTGATTTTTCAAATCAATTATCTGGATTCAAATTTACGTATATTTATTCACAAAATACCTTCTGGGGTGTCAAAAAGTAAAATTTGCAAGGTCAAAGGTCAAGGTCATCAAACGAAATCACAAACTGTGTTTTCTAATTTTCTCAAAATTGGAGACTACAAATCAATTTTTTTTAATGAAAGTCAGAATATATATTCCTCTAAAGGTTCTACACATATTAGCAATTGACTATTTATTAAAATTCTGCTCCAGTTTTGAGATATTAGAACTCAAAAACTGAAAAAAGGTCAAATTTCAAAATTTTTCAGGGTCAAATTTCAACTTGCTCTAAATTCACCAAACTTTTTTTTAAAAAGCATCTACAAGATCTCAGGAACTCAAATCTGACCTTAGTTTTGACCTATGACCTTTAGTTGACCTTCAGTGACCTTCGAAAGGTCAGAAAAGTTGATTTTTTAAATTGAGTCTTTGGATTCAAATTTAGGTCACTCTAATTACAAAAAGCCTACAGAGGTCTAAAAAAGTAAAAATGTCAAGGTCAAAGGTCAAGGTCATCAAATTAGGTCACAAACTGTGCTATCTAAGTTTCTCATAGTTCAAGACTACAAATCAATATTTTTAATTGAAAGTCAAGATATACATTTCTCTAAGGGTTCTACACATATTAGTCATTGACTATTTATTAAAATTTTGTCCCAGTTTTGAGATATAAGAGCTCAAAAACTGAAAAAGGTCATTTTTTCAAAGTTTATAAGGTCAAATTTTAACTTCCTTCAAATTAACCCAACTGTTTTTAAAAAATCATCTGCAACTTCTCAGGAGTTCATATTTAACCTCAGATTTGACATTTGACCTTTAGTTGACCTTCAGTGACTTTCGAAATGTCAGAAAAGTTGATTTTTCAAATTTTTGGATTCAAATTTAGGGTTGGCCTAATCAAAAAAAAACCTACTGAGCTCTAGAACAGTAAAGTTTTCAAGGTCAAGGGCCACGGTTATCAAATTAGGTCAAAGGTCAAGATCTAGGTCAAATCTAAAAAAAATTCAATTTCTCAACTTTGTCCTTATACTTCATTATTTCTTGCGATGAATTAAACTGAAACTACATTTTAGTATTCTCTATAAATTGTTTACTATATGTCAGCATTACATTTTTACCGTTTTTGAGATATTTGACGTAAAAAAACGTCAAAAAATGTCATTTTTCAACTTGCTTCAATCTGACCGAATTTTTTTTATAACTCATCTACAACTTCCCAGGAGTCCAAATCTGACCTCAGATTTGACCTTTGAACTTTAATTGACCTTCAATGACCTTCGAAAGGTAAGAAAAGTTGATTTTTTAAATTGAGTCTTTGGATTCAAATTTAGATCAGCTTAATTACAAAAGTCCTACTGAGGTCTAAAAAAGTAAAACTTTTCAAAGTCAAAGGTCAAGATCATGAAATTAGGTCACAAACTGTGCTATCTAAGTTTCGCAAAGTTCGACTACAAACCAATATTTTTAATCCGGAGTCGAAATATACACATTCCTCTAAGGGTTGTACAAATATTAGCAATTGACTATCTAATTGAATTTTGTCCCAGTTTGAGATATAAGAGTTCAAAAGTTGAAAAAAGGTCAATTTCGAAATTTGTCAAGGTCAAATTTAAACTCGCTTCAAATTGACAAAATCTTTTTTTGAAAATCATCTACAAGTTTTCAGGAGTTCACATCTGACCTCAGATTTGATATTTGTCCTTTAGTTGACCTTCAAATTGTCAAAAATGCCTAAGAGGGCCTCCGTGAGATTGCTTGCAATCTTCAAAAGTCTAGTTATTTTTGAAATATGAGTGTCCCATTTTTGGACCACCCTGTAGAATTCTAGTTCAATAAGATTTGATCAGATATCTAAATTCTCCTTTTGAGATAAAAAATAGGATTACTATTAATTAGCTGATTAGGGAAACATCTTTTAGAACAGATTTCTTCGAACAATTTACACTCTCTCTTTCTCTTATTTACTGCCACTCACATTGGCCATGCATGCCGTGACAAACTAATTAAATCCAAAAATCTAATTGGTGTCGTGCTATCCAGAAACTCTTCAGTTGTACATCTCAATTTCTCATTTGTAGAGAATAGTGTAGTACTTGGGACAGAACAATGCATGCCTGTTTTGTCCTGATAACTTTTTTATTTATTCTCAGTAACTGTACATGAAATTTTCACAGGATCAACTTCAAAGCATTCCTAACATACAAAATATTTTGTTTAGCTAAAAACCAATTTTAACAAAAATCATAGCTTTCTAAAAAGTATGGCCAAATTTTGCTTATATACCAATTCTGCATCTTTTTTTCTGATAATGTTAAATCATCTCAATTTATTCTATGTGTAATACAGAGTGACCCCAGAAATAAAATCCACAAATCTCTGAATAAAGGATTAGGGTTTTGCTTTATTGGGTCACCCTGTAGCTGATCAAAATGGCATTACAGACCAGTTGTCACGTTATTTTCGTATACCTACTGAAAAAAATCAACTGGACCGTTTCAAATGTAATCTGGCGGTGACCAGTGGACCAGCCCTTAGCTCAAGCCCTGTTGACCCCTTAATTTTGTCTATTTTGTAGATGTCTGACAAACATGGAATCACACCTCTGCTGGCCGCCATTTGGGAAGGACACACAAAATCCGTCCAAGTACTCCTTGACAATGTGAGTCTATCTAATAAAACAGAAAACATATTGTATACACATTATAGAAAAGTAAATGATACAATCACTGTTTTTCCCTAAAGTGTTTCTTTTTTAGAATGAGACACAATTTTTAAAAATTGCTCTGTTTCTACCTTTAGCTTTTTCCTATTTTCCACTAATACAAAACAAATGTAATAGGAGCAGTCCCAGAAATCAAATTTGAGTTTTGATTTTTGGAAAAAACTTTTGATATCACTGTTCCACAGCTGGATGGCTCTAACTGCAGTTAGCTTCATTCAAGATGGTTGCTGAAATTCTTTCGTTTTCAATAAGCCTCCAATTTCAGCTATACTAAGTTGAATCTGGATTCCAAATGTTTCGCCATGTAAATTAATAAAGCTACGATGGTAAATATCCACAAATATTATGCTCTAACTACCACGAGAAAATGGCTTCACTTAGAATGACTCTAACTGAAGTTGATGATGACGTAGATCATCAATTTCAGTTAGAGTCATTCTAAGTGAAGCCGTTTTCTTTAAAATTCTCTAACATTGCGGATGTTTGGGCATTCATTTATGGTTGAATACAGTCGTAGTTTTATTAATTTGCATGGCAAAACTTTTTGAATCAAGATTCAACTTTAGTTTAGCTGAAATTGGAGGTTTATCAAAAACGGAAGAATCTCGGCAACCATCTTGAATGAAGCAAACTGCAGTTAGAGTCATCCAGCTGTGGACAAGTGTGATATGCCTCAATTAAAAAATTTCAGGCCCTCTATCTTTAGGGCCCATTTTAAGGCCTGTTGGGGGGCTGGCTCTGTGTAAAAAAAAATTTATCTGAAAATTTCTTTTTTTCAGGGGGCTAAAAAAGATGGAAAGGCTCCAGATGGTAGTAGTTATATAGACAGTGCCGAAAAAGAAGAAATAAAAAATATTTTACGATAAATCTCAGATATGAACTGAAAGTGTGTAAATTATGAGAAGTGAAGAGGGAAACGTGTAGTGCTTTATTTTATACAAAGACAAGCTCAAAGTTACGAAAAGTTTTAAAAAACTCAATTATAAGAAGTTACAAATATACAGGACATCATATTGGCTGTGGAATTTAGAATGCCCAGTATCAGATTTGTACCATTTTGGTTAAATACAACCAAATCGACATAACATTTTGTGGTGAGAAAATATTGAAGTCTACATCTGCACTTGGCTTATGCAAAATCCACAGCCTTCTGAAAAACTCTGGTTGCTATAAAAAGGTAAATAATGTTATATTAGGCTATGAATTGTCCACCATTGGAAAGGAGGGCTGTGAATCTGGCAAAATCATTGGAAACTAAGAAAATATTCCCTCCGCCACTTTCATTATAATTGTTTGGTTGATTTTGTACCTTGAATATACAACACATATCATTCATATAAAACTGAACTCAGATTTCAGATTTTAGTCTGACAATGTTAATAGGCCTATTATTCCTTGTATTCTTTAAGTATCACATAAATGCACGTTTTTAATATCCTAATATCATTTGTAAACTCGCACACCTTTAGCCAGGGGGTCGTTTCCAAAAATGTCGTAGACTTACGATATCGTAACTTCAATTGTGTTTTCACGACAAGTAAAAAATTTCCGTTTCCAGAAATTTGTCGTAAACCTACGACAAACTACCATGTCGTACACCTGTCGTAGAAAGACAATAGCTATCGTGTGAAACCCACGACACCCCAAGGGGGTGTCGCAAGGTTGTCGTAGAGCAATATTTGAGTTATATGTGGGGGTTTAATTATCTCATAGATTATGTCACAATTTACGTTGGCTTATGCAACGCGAGCACTTGACAGAAAGCTGAAGAAATTGCGGTTTCATGCCCTCCAAAACATAAGGTAAATGGCCATTTCTATGCATTGAAAAATAGAGAAACTGAAGTTCGTTAGCGCATCATCGTTCACATGGTTTTCTCTTCATATTACTTCTCATGAAGGTTGATTGAGTTGGGTTAATTTAAAGAGACATAACAATTTTAAAATTGTGTAAATCAAAAATAAACATGTTTTCTCTTCATGGTGTATTGAATAATTATAATTTAAAACATTAACGTTTCTCGCCTCTTTTGCTTGTCTTTTTAACGAATGAAGCAAGGTGAGAAATATTATTGTTTTACCAAAAGTCAGTTCACCATCAATTATTTATTGCATTATTTCCTTTCTTGAGTTGCATATCGACAAACTATCTACATTCACTTTATTCTGAAATCATGTATATTTGTCTCCGGTAAACTGTCTTGCTACCTACACCGGAACACCCTGACAACGGTAAAGACAGCTACCGTTGTCACAGATGACGGACTTAACCATCGCATCTACTCTTTAATCACTTTTTCATTTCACGGGACCTTATCGTCGCTAATTCTGTGAACTTGTGATGGTATATTATATGAAAATCCAAAGGTCCATTTGTCGTATGGCAAGTGATTTTAGACGGTCATATTTTTCACCATGGGCACTTTCTGGCCATCAATACAGTGGTTTTTATTAAAACAATATGTTTTCTTTCAAGTGAAGTCCCCATGATAGTAAAATATCATTCAAACTCTCTGAAAAATTAGGACCCCCACCTTCGCACTTTTTAAAAATGTTAGGCTCATTTTCTAAAAAGAGGATCTTGTTTTTCTCGATTTAAACATATCAAAATATTTTTCTACACTGTATTAACGATTCCTGAAAAGGGGATGTGTATTGAAATCCGTTAAAGTTAAAGACCACATCTCCAACTATAGCCACTATACCGCCTTCCATATCGTCAATTAGAATTGAATTGAAATTGAGAAATGACAATGGGAACTAGACGTATGATGAGGTGAGTGCAAATAACAACAATGAAAAAAATTATGATTCTCTACACCCCAGTCACATTTGTCTTACGGCGGCCGTACGTCGACCGCAGATCAATTAAATCAGTGTATTTCTACGGCGAGCGTAGGAAAACTACGCTCGCCTTGCGGTCTCCGTACGGCGTATCCAGTTTTTTACAGGCCGCAGAGTCGCCGTAGAAATTATAACTCGGAGTTATAATATTTGTTCATTTCTGCGGTGCCTGTAGAAATCAACTGGCTCAACAAGATTAAATCATTATTTGTCAATGTTTCACGAACACTTTTCATTTGATATTACATCCTAGCACTATGAATAACTTTAATAAATTGTCCTGATGTGAATAAAATGAAAATAAGTATTATTTATTAACATAAATTTAAAATTCGCCGTGCGGCTGCCGTGGGAAATGTGACTGCAAAAGTATGAGAGCGCAGTAATTCTACGGCGAGCATAGAAAAGCTACTGACCGCAGAAATGATAGACCGCACGGCGGCCGTAGGAAATGTGACGTGGGTGTTAGTAGTGCCCTGAAACACAAACGGGAGAAACAGGAAGAAAAAACGGGAGCGGGGCTCCCAGATATTCTTTACAGCCGGGCAGTACAGAAGCCTTATTCATAAAGCCAACGTAAATATTTCCATTTACGTCCACGTAACTCAATTGTACGCTGGACATAAAAACATCTCTCCGTCGTATTAATAAACATATGCGGAAATTGGTGATCTACGTTTAACTTTCCGCAATTGACTTACGCAATGATTTTCAAGGAAAAATGGTATATCCCGGACGGACAAGTGAACAATTTACAATTAATATTCAAACATCTGACAAAAAACTTGAAGTCAGTATTAGCTTATTTATTTAAATGGTAAAATATGCCTATCCTTAAGTTTCTGTAAAAAATTTCATGTCAATACCATAATGTTATGATACTTTTTTGCCTTCTAAAAAGGTTGCAAATTTTTTTGGCCCACCCTGTATATTATTATTACAACCCTATCATGTATGTCACTATGGGAAAAGATAAGAAATTCTCATTTTCTCTGAAAACTTAACTTGATCGAATCTCAACAAGTTAAGTACATCATGTGGGATAGTATTGCTTGAATCCATGTTCAAAAGAAAGAACATGGGTTCTTAAACAGGACATTAAAGCTTGACTAAGGCCTTTTTGAATTTTTTCGTTCGTACTAAAGACCGAAACTAGAGTACTCCAATGCAGTTTGGAACAGGTGTAAAAGGGTAGGAGGTCCTATCAATTTATTCTCCTACTCTCCATTGATTTATATGGTGACCTCTTTCCTGAAGGGCCTTTAGAAGGGGAGACAATAACCCCTGGGGGACCATAATCATAACTATTACAGCCATAGTTTATAAATATATTTTATATGTTTAATGGAGTCATACCATAAAGAGCCAATGCTTCTAGCGTTACATTACAATCATTAAATTAACGTTCCCATCCCGATTTTAAAGCACATTTGACCCACATTTACCGTTGTCATTTATAATTACAGTATCCGTTGTCCTGTGTCATATTTTGATCGGTAAAATTAAGGATTCATTTCGATGGTAGAGCATAATAAACGATAAGTAGGAAAAGACTTTGATTGATTGTTGCACCAAAGGAATTAAATCTAGTTGAAGGATATCATGGGCTTTCCCTTTCAACAGACCCATGATGAAAATTGAATCGAATACGAACCTGCTGTCATTTGTAATACAGGTATCTAACTTTACCGTTGTCAGGGTGTTCAAATGTTGACATAAGTTAATCGGTTATGTGCGAACGTCAGTGAACACACTCCCGGTGTCCCAAAAAAGTGAGACACTTTTGACAAGTATTTTCTCAGCAACAGACAAGTTAAATTCTTTAAAAAAATTTACTGAGGAAGTATAGGGTATCCACCCCATGCAGACAAATCGACTAAAGTTACATTCGTATGATGTGAGACTCGACATTCACCAGGAAACTTGAAATAATTTGTCACCCAAGGAGCCAAATTGCGTTTTATAAGTATGAGAATAGCATGATGTCTTGATATTTCAAGGTAACGTCGTTTGAAAAGTGATGGCGGTGATTGAAAAAACGATGTAAAGATAAAACCGCAACGAAACATTTGTAGATTTCTTTGAAGAACTAAAAAACATACATCACATACCGAATTTCCGAAACAGAAAAAAACATGACAATTAATATTTGAAACACAACATTACTGTAATTCGAACTTTTGATCGAACATCAGTATGATACTAGTATTACTTTATAACCTCGAAGTACACATCATACTTAAATGTCTGATCATAAGTTCGAATAATAGTTGTGTTTCAAATATTAACTGAATGACATACACGAGACCAATGTACCAGGGGGAATCGAACCTGCAGGCTTACTATCTATACATGTTTTTTTTCTTTGAAAAATTCGATATGTGATGTATATTTCTTGGTTTTTAATGAAATCTACAAATATTCCGTTGCGGTTTTATCTTTACATCGTAATTTCAATCACCGCCATCATTATTCAAACGAGTTACCTTGAAATATCAATACGTCGTGCTATTCTCATACTTACTCGTAGAACGCAATTTGACTGTCATTCACCATTTATTAAGCAGTAAAAATAAGTTTCTTTAAGGGTGGCAAAATGTTTCTAATTTCCCGGTGAAAGTCGAGTCTCGCATCATACGAATGCAGTTTTAGGCGATCTGTCTGCATGGGGTGGTATCATTAGCTAGTGCTATGAATATGAGGAGTGTTGTCAAATTAGAAACAGCATGCAAAAATATCCAATATCAACGGAGTCTGAAAGAAGACATTTTTCCAATCAAAAATGCTTTTTTGTATTTCTCCCAATGATATCGTTTCCCATGACATACGTATGCCGTCCTTTAATGTATGTTGGATGTAGTCTATTTACAGTGACATGACTCCAACTCTTACCCTTAATTCCTTTACGATTCTGGGATTCATCTTCCACTCCATCCTTTCACCTTAATTGTCGAAACAATTTTCAATAGTAGCCGTATCGCTTTCACTGAAAGACATCGTTAACGTTAATCCTTCCAAACTAAAACTTTGGACAGAACGGAATTTGGATACAGTTAACAATGAAACAAATCAATATACCTGACCCAGAGACAACCTTTTTTGAGACAAAAACTGATGCCAGTGTCAGGATGCCATCCCGGGATGCCATCACTTGATAGCTGGCACAAACGCTATGAAGGTACCGGTCTCATTGCGCAGCTCTGATATTGGATTTTTGACACGCATTTTGAACTTGTCAAATCACTCACATAATATGTAACCAATCTCGTCCATATTTGTACCACTAAATAAGGATATTATTTGGGCTACTGGAGAGAAATTTCTCATGAATTCGAGTAATCTTATTGCGGAGGAAATATTTGTCAAAAAATGTCTCATTTTTGGAACACCCGATATATTTGTGTTGGTTGTAA